AAGCCACAGTAGTAGCTGTTCCTTGTGTTTTATCCTGACATGGAAGTTCCTGCCCAAGTTACATTGGGAGCGTAATTGTCCAGCAGTTAGCAAGCGTTTGCATCGGTTTGGCAGCCCATCTTGGGGACTCCTGCAGATACCTCGAATATTCTTGCTTTCGTGGTCAAATTAAATGCCAAGCCCAGGACACTTCTCTCCACAGTCTTGAAGAGTTAATTTTATCTTCATCCTTCATTTGTGGAGGGAGGTTAAGATCCCACTGAAAAACAAAATAGTGGCAAAAGACAACAGATGAGCTTGTGGTCTTAGCTGTGCTGGTTTTGCTTGGGTAGCTTTAGGATTTTTTTTTCTCTTCAGGCAGTACTGTCATATTTACGTATCCTAGATAAAGCTAACGTTGTGCCTTAGAAAGACCGACAGTTTCTCTGAGGTGGCATTTGTGCTCGTGGGGGTGTGGTGCAAGTGAAGGTCCATCTAGTGAAAGTGTGACCATGGCCACAAGTGAAATACTCTTTACAGGGACAGGGATGGTCTACTCTTGCCCTTCACTGGATTTAGCAGTAGGTTGCATCAGAAAAGATGGGACAAATGGTGAAATCCTAGATTTTCTGTAATGCATTTTCACTATTTTAGCCAAATGCTAATGAAAGATTTGTTGTATATGCAGAACTCATGGCAAGGCAGGGGGCAGATTGTTTTTACTACAAAACTCAGTGGTCATCTCACCAAAAAGGAATATATGGCCTTTGACTGAACTGTTGATAATCATAGAAAAATGCCCATGCTTTTGCAGTGAACTAATACCAGATTTTAATATTTAGACAAAATATGAGAGAAGTGACTTGGAACACACGTCTCATAAAATGAAAAAGACAGAACAAATCTCTTTGTGATCCTACTTAAATTTGCAAAGAAATAGGCATCACAGGAGTCTTCAAAAGCTGTGCAGGCATTTTAATGCTGAAGTCACAAGTGTCACATTTTATTTGCACCTGGACTAGGACAGTAAGGAATATTTCTGTACCCATCTATGTCAGAAAAAACATAATCACAGACTGCTGCTTAAGTGTTCAGTGGCTGACCCCATGCAGTTTTTATAATATATAGGCTGTGGGTAATGACATGTAATCAGAAACAATTGCCTTGCAAGAGAAGATTTCTGAGAAGTGGTGTCAGCCTCTTCGGCTGCGTCTGCACTAGTGAATTAATTGCCGTAGGGCTGTTTTGGGATCCTCGTGAGCAGTCCGTGCCTGCACTGCTGAAGGCTCTCGGCATCAGAGGCAAAACAGCCGCGTGCAGAACTGCCCCTTGGAGGCTGCGCTACCCTGGGCTAACGCGTTTGCTGTTGTAGAGTAGGGCTGCCCTAGGGTAGATTTGCTCGAGGGACTCAATGAGCCCTTCCATACGTCTTGTATAGATAGATATACATCTCGTATGGATGGCACGGCATTTATGACAAAAAGGGGACAACAATGGGATGGGAAACCTGCAGGCATCAGAAGTTGTGGTCTATAGGTCCTCTATGGTGGACCTCCCATGTCAGAAGAAGCCACTGTCAGAGTTTGCAGATGCTTGGGTGAGTGTGTCATGGGGGAAGCCACGGAGTCATTTTGAGAACATGAGGAGGTTTAGTGATCCAAGAGGAACAACGTCTCAAGGGAGGACTGAGCTTGTTTTAGAGGCCAAGGAGCGGGTGCTGTTGTTCACCATCATAGCCGTTTTTTGTCATGGCTATGTCTCTCCATGGAAGCCTGGAATAGCAACTGGGGAGAGGGATTAAATGTATATTTTTGCCTTTTAAAACATAGCATGGGATGCCACAGGTCGAGTTTTGTACTGTCTGTGCTGGAGGGAATGAAAGAGCCCTTGGAAGGAGAGAAGGAGGCACAGTGGCTGTCTGTTTAAAAGAAACCCCAATTCAAGCATACAAAGCACAGTGGTTGGCTTAAATAGAGCACTTTGGCAAGAATAGATGACTTATTTCTTAGCCTGCCTTTAAGTACTCTCTAAGTATACGCTAGAGCATGAGGAAGGAGGTTTGTAGATATTGGCTTCCACATCATCCATCAGCATCATGCTTCAGAGGAGAGACTTTCTGTGCAAAACCAAAACCTGTGGTCTTGGAAAAAACGTGAGGAGCAAAGGCTGTTCCTGGATGGGGTTGGGGAAGACTTTCAGGCAGATCAGACCCACTGACTCAGCAGGACCCTAAGGAGAAACTGGGGAAAATGAGACTGGAAAGGTGCTCCATCAGGAGCAAGAGCGGTCGTTGTATCGTGCATCCGTAACTGCAGAGCTCTGATATGGGTATATATTTTCAGTACTGTTATATGTCTAGCTTTACTATACTGTTAGCTTTGTTATAGCCTCTAATAAATTCTCAACACTTGACAAGCCCCACCTGTCGAGTTCAATACGACCAACTCCATGACAGAGAAAGTCCCAGGCACCCCTCCAGTGGCACGTCACGCTTATCCTCTTGCTTTAAATGCAGCCAAAGAGGGTCAGTACTGCTGTATTCTGGGGTTCTTTTTTTTCCAATTTGATTACATCTTTCTACCTTACTGTTCTGATTTCCTAGTGAAATTTCTTAGCATAGCATGAGGAGGTCAAAGATTTAACTTTGGAACTACAGTTTTCTCCGAAAATAGATGTACATCTTTCCTCGCCAGGTGTCATGAGCACTGAACTGTGCAAAACATTTTGCGCGGCTGTATCATCGTTCATCAAAGTACCTCTAAGTATTATATGAACTCATAGTCTAGCTTTTCATTTACTAGAGTTTTCAGCTGCTGATACGTTATGGACAAGGGCAGTAAAAGGTTTTTCTTTCTTTTTTTTTCTTTTTCTCCTCTACAGTTGTTTCCTGTCTTTGCTTCTGGTGGCAGCCGTGGTGTGGAAGATTAAGCAAAGTTGCTGGGCATCACGACGGAGAGAGGTTGAAATGACAAAACTGAATGCTATCTTTTAAATGACTTTTTTATAGTTCTTCTCTTTTATGTATTTATTCACATATGCATAGTATTAACCTTCAGTTAAGGATAAGCTTCACTAATCTATAAATGCTTCTGTTTAGGGATTTATAATAATGTACTTTTGATTACCATTTTGGTGACAAATGATGCTGCTTTAATATCCTCATGCTGCAGTTTCCATGAAGCGGGAAAAAATAGGGGTGAGGGTCCTGTGTTGCCAGGACTCTGATTCCAGATCATTTATTTAAACCACTGTAGATCAGGCGTTTCTTTTGATCTGTTTAGAAAGATGAAATTTCTGCGCTGAGGCTCTCAACTACATTAGCTACTGCTTTAATCTTTTGAAAAGCAACTATCCCTAATATAAATGAAGAGCTTATAGTAGTTGTTTGAGAGATTTCCCCCCCGCCTCTTTCAGGAGCATGGTAGCAAAGGAAAGGCAAGTGAAGACAACCAGGATTTGGAAAACTATAGGTGTATGTCTCAAAAAGGCTACTGTAGTGGCAAAGCTTTCCCCTTTTCAGCTAGCCATAAACTATACCAGCTCCTAACCTTGTGGGTTTTTTTCTTTATTTGATAGTTTATAGCATATAAAAATGTCTGTGATTCCTAAATGCAGGTGTCTGTGCCCCTCATCTGAGACCGAGTACCATCTGTGAAGGGCTTGTAGGCTGAGTTATGCCCATTCCCAATAGATATCCCAAAGTATTCAAAGTCATGTGACTGTCTGAGGTTTTCCATGTTCTCGGAAGCTAAATAGATTTTGGGCTAGAATTAGCATTGTTTTTTGTTTTGTTTTGTTTTTTACTTCTCCCCAGCATACTTCCCTGTTGGCTCCCAGGATAAAAAGCTTTCTCTAAAAGCATATAAAGAATCTAGGTGGAAATAAATATCATATCTGGATCTCAGTGAAAAATACTTGAGCAGCAGCTTAAATGAAAAATATCTCTGAATGAAGTTACTCTGAGTCTGATGCATGTTTGAGAAAATTAATTGGAATTACAGGGTCAGTTGGTGTTAGCATGTTTTAATCTTTTAAACTCGATTCACAGGTGTAGCTAATTGACAGACAGTTCATCGTAACAGTCTCTTCCTGGGAGATTACTGTCTTTCGTCAATATTTGCCTTACACCTTCATTGCATCAGGAAAAGCCTTCATAATGATGTTAGTTTTCTTTTTTTCTAAGCTCTTACTCTTTAAGTAGTATCAAAGTGCTCATGTGAACGCAGAACATTCATTTCTAGCAAATCATCTGTAAATTGTATGTACAGTGATTATGTGCAGTTCATATGTGGAAAATGCACAGGGAATACATTAATGGAATGAGGAATTTTATTCCTCATGTAGTCTTATTGTATGAAAAATTACTAGGACTTTATATCAGCATAAAACACTGTAAATCTGTCTCGTAGTTCATAGGTCTGTGCTACTCCATCCTTCTTTAGAAATGGTTATAAAAGATGAGGAAACTTTCAAGTCTTTGCCATGCCGTTTATTAGACATTTTGCATTAACGGAGACCATCTCCAGAGATAAAAGACTATCCTCAAAGTCTTTGACTTTTTGGTAGCATTTAAGATGTTTTTATAGCTTTCAAAGTGATGGAGAGTTCTTTTGTTTGTTTTCAATGCAGGCTCTCAATAAATCCTATTAAGACTTCCTTCAAGCATTAGTAGCTAAAATAATGATTAACAGCTATTTTCTACACTGCAGGTTTTCAAGTATCCACATGATTTGACCTCTGCTGTTTTAAGGATGGTTTCGAAGCATGTTACTCTTAATTTTTTCCTTTCTTCCATGCTTTGGAGATGACTGCTCTTTGTTTTTATCCACTACCCTTGCAAGAGCCTTGGATTGCAGATCTAGTCATCAGAATTATCCAAGCCATATGGGTTTGGAGAGTATGTTGGGAGAACTGGTACCGCTGTGCTTAGCCTGTTGCGTTAGTGGAATGGGATAGAGAAAATGGAGTAGCAACCTCCTTTGGTGGAAACGAAATTAACTTGTACTACTCCTTAGTGAGAAGTCATTGATCTGCAAATTGAGAATCTATCGCTAGATCTCATAAGACATGTGACAATTAAATTCCCGCCTGCCCCGCTGGCTCCTGACAGTTAAAAGATCTTCCTAACATTCTTTTTCTTTCTAGAGCTAATTCCCTTTGACCAGCTGCCTGTGCACATCAGTGCTGATCATCCTCAGCTTTCTGGCCAAAAGGTGTCTTTTGGGTGTGCAAATGCACAGTTCCAGCAAAAATGAGCACTGAGCAAAAGTGCGGGCCTTGCAGAGTGCAAGACTCGACCTGAAGTAAAACTGGGAGCAATTTGTGTCATATCGGGCAGGGAGGAGATGGGATAGTAAATTGTGTATTTATTCTCTCTCCAGTGAGCACCATGTTTAAATATCTGTAGACATCTTAAAGAGGAAAATGGAGATAAAAAGGCAGCTTTTATAAGAGGCTTAGGACAAAGTGAGTGACATTAGGAAATAGAAATAGGAAATCTTTCCATCTTGTCTCCGGAAAATGACATGTTAAGACGCATCAAGGTGGTAAATAGAGAATCACACACAAAATACGAGACTGGCATTATAAATTTAGTATACCCATCTGCTGTTTTGAATTTTTTGTCCTCTTATTCCATTTTAGCGTCCAAATTTGAGTCTATTCGCCCTCAGCTGGCTTCCTACTCCTTGACTTCTGCCAAGAAATAGCTCCTGTGGGTGTGGAGAGTGATTTGGCTGGCCACACGTGTGAGGGTGAGCTGAGTTGCCCTCCATGTCCCATTTGCTGTGCTGGGAACACCAACATGAAGCACAAATAGAGGTGTCTAAACTTAGGTCTGTAGAACAGAACCTAACTTTTAACATCAATAAAATTGTCTACATTTTGCCTCCATTCTTGCCCAGAATTTCCAGACTCGCAGAATCATCAAGATTGGAAGGGACCTTTGGAACTGATCTAGTGCAGCCCAGGACTGAACCCCTTCTACTCTGTCTACTCTGCCCAAACTTATGCAGGATGGGGTTTGTGTATTGATTTACTACAGGGATTATCCACCAGCTCCTTGACTAAACATCATCTTCCTTCACAAGTTTACTGAGAATGTAGCAGCACTTGTGTCTACACTGGCTTTTTTGGCTTTAATATCTCTTTGCAGTTTAGCTTTGCCAGCCCCCATCTGTCCATGAACACCAAATGCCATTTAGGCAAGTGGCTCTCTGTATTCACTATTAGGGCAAAGGATTTCCAAGGGAATTTATATTATATGTTATTTATTGCCCTGCCTCACTTTTCTTCCCCTTCCAGCTCTCACCTGTTAGTATTTCGTTCATCTCATGCCTTGTCTTTAAGACTCTGATTTAGGCTATTCTTTGTTAAATAAAAGGATTCAGAATTGGAATGTCTTAAAACTGTAACTGTAAATCAGAATCTTCATCGCAGCATGAAAATCTCTGGCAGTGTTTTGGAAGGATGATATTGGCCCTGTGCTAGAACATGAAAGGTCAGGCTACAAATCTGTCCCCTTTATTAGCCTGTGTCTGACAGTGGACAGACACAGCTGCTCAGAGGGGAATATGAGAAACCAGATAAGCTAGTGCAGAACTTCTCTGCTATGTTCCTCAAGCTCCCAGCAGGCAGTAGGTTGTGTGTTTCTGGGTTATTTTGCAATAGTATTCAGAATCTGTCAGTTAAAGGGGGAGAAAAATAGCTTGCAATTGGTGTAGTTTGTAGATAAAACACCAACAGGAAGAGTGAGAATTGTCACAAGTAGATGATGTCTACAGAGGGCTAGAGTAGGAGGTCAGCACACTCAACTGCTCAGCCAAGTGCTGTATGTTAACTTCCAGTTCCTGGATATGTAAGTGAAGTAATATACAAGAGCATAGCATTACGTGTTGGGTGTAATGTAGTGGGATGACTATAGGAAACTGTGTCCGCCCCAGTCTCTGCAGTGTTCTAGATGTTGCAGGTGGTTCAGGAAAATGCAAGATCAATTTGTGGTTCAAGAGATAAGGGACAGGTTAAAGCATCACAAATTACTCAATTCATCCTAAGGAAAACACACTGAGAGTTAATAATGTGAATGACTGTGGATAAAGAATCAGAGAAGACTTCTGACAGTGTAGAAATCTTGTAAATAATCTGCCAAAGACATAGCCCCCAGTATCTGCAGGGACTGAGGGTAAAAGACATAAGGAAATACTAATCTTTTTCTGTTTTTTAATGGCAAGTTTAACAGCGGCAATGATTTGTTTTAAAAAGATGGATTTCAAATTGGAATTTGAATGGATCCTTTTGGAAGGATCTTTCTTATGTTAATTCAAGTGATCTGTAGAAATCACATGGTGAGATCCTGTGGCTTATACTGTACAGGAGGTCAGATCCAATAACTGTAGCTTTTTCTGCTCTCCTGTTTTAAAAACCATGAATGGAACCAACTTGTAGTGGCCTGTAGGCTTCTTCCAAAGTACAGACACTTGAGTGCTCTCTGCAATGATCCCTTTGACTTTGGTCACCAACTCAAGGAAATCACAGCAGAAATAAGAGATGCCTCAAAGAGAGAAAACAGCCGAAAAATTAAAGCTGACAGGAGATTCCAGCTTGGGGGAAGCGATGGTCCATTTTTGCTTGAACACACTCTGGTCATTCCGTGCCTAATTGAGCTCCCTTCTGCTTGAACGTGCGGATGCTCCGGCCGCTGTTCCTGGCTGTGCTACGTTTCCGTTGCGTACCACAAATCAGGGTGGCAATCCCGTACGCAGCTTGGGCACCCAGCCGAGCACCGTGCTCCCTCCGGGGTGTTTCCTCCCAAAGTGGAAGGGCAGAGCCACCACAGAGAATGAACAAAGAAGCGGGAGCTATTTTTATTATATCCCACAGAGAATCCAAGTCCAATGTTTGCGGTGGTGTTGGGATAGACCAGCAGTACGAGAGGTCACCCTTAACTGTGTGCATTAGAGCTGCTGCAGTTTCAGACTCCTGGGTCTTTCTCTGCGTCACCAGGAATCAGGGGTGCAGGTGTCTAATTTAGCTCTTTGGAAAAATCAGCGAGAACGAGCGTTGTATAATTACACCAAAAGAGCTCCAGTCAATCACAGGTGATTTTTGCTATTGTGCAACTAGCTCCTGCTGATAGATTTTCCAGTCTGTATGGACAATGGACATGGACTGTACACTTTTTCCCCTTTTTTATTTTCCTTTCTTTTCACAAATGATATCTAGGATCGTTATTAAAGGTCAGCTCTCTGTGCCCTTCCACTGGGCATGATTATGATAAGTAACTTACTTATCTTAATCAGCCCTGGATTAAATATGTTCTGTCATTTCAGCATGAGGCGAGTTCCCAGCAGCTTTGCTTTCTGATTTGTTGTAGTTTTGAAGTGTGGAAATGCCTGTTGAGAAGCATTTGAACATTAATTCCCTCCTCCTCTCTTTTTTTTTTTTTTTTCCCAGCATAGCCTGCAAAGTCGGTTACAAAACTAATTAGCTGCCATTAATATGTGCACTGCTCTAAGGGCTTAAAAACTTAATTTTCAGTGATGATGGAAGTGTCAGGAAAATTGTTTGTTTGTTGACTTACATGAGAGTTAATATAATTGTGGCTAAATGCTTTAATTCACTTATTTCTGGGACAGGATGGCTCATCCTTGTGGAGTATTTGTATCTTAGATGTTTGTGAGGGGCTTGGGGTGCCTCTTTTTTATTCTGTAGGCAACTCCATTGATTTCTTCTCCTTCCCCTAAGGCAGCTGTGTAACTAAAACATAAAACCGAGTTTTTTTTTTCCATCGGGTTAGATGTTATTTCATATTAATAACCAGGTGCTGCCAGACCATGGGTTAGTGCTGGCTTCGTAGCAATGCAGCCTGGCATCGAGGTGCCCCGGTACCGTTGCAGCCGTGGGGATGTCAGCCGTGGTTTTGGAGGGAAGGCAGGGCTGTCCGTCCCCTTGACCGCAGTAGGAGCACCTCAGTTCCGGAGCTAATAAACCTCACTGCCGGAATCTTATTATCCCTTGTTGACGCATCCTTGGCGTAGGCAGGGAGACCTTTTGGCACCAGAGGAGATTGTGTGCTTGATGTAGCGCGCTGAGTCTTCAAGGGGATGTCTATGGGGAATGACTCACTTGAGCACTCCACTGACCTGCCCGCGTGAAGAAAATTGGTCTGGAAGAAGGAGACGACGCTGTTGTTTCAGTGTCACCCTCAGTTTAGCCCTGGCTGGCGAGGGAGGCCACCAGGTGCCTGAATCCATGCTGGAGATGGGCATCTCCAGCAGCTGTGCGTGGGAGAGCTGCATGCAGAAAGCACCATATAGTCTGTTCTCTCCTCAAACCTTTTCTTTTATACATGTTAAATAAAGAGAAAAACTGATATGTATTCTATTATCTTTCCTTTTTTCCTCTCTCTGAGATCTTGGAGCTGTTCTTTTCTCCCCCTGTTGAGGCTGATCTCCGCATCTGGAAGGTCTTTGAGTTTTGGCCCATTGCACCAAATGCAGCCACAGAAAGTCGGTTCAGGGGGAGATTCACCTCCCCTGGCCTGGGCGAATGGTCTGAGGCTTTCCTGGTGGTGTCTGGGTGGTGTTTCATACCATGGCATTAATATGTCCTATCCCCTGGGAATAGCTTGCTTCCTGCCTTGTGAGATCCTATTTGCTTCTCTTTTACTCTACATTAAAATGAAAGCTTATAAATAAAATACATCGGCATCCTTCCATAACTGAAGACACTGTATCCCAATCCCAAAAGGTGCTGGATTCTTGTGCTTATAAAACAGGCTCTGGAGGGGCACTGGTCGAGATTGATGGTAGCTGGGGAGTTGCACACAAAACACTGACTAGTTTATTACTGCGAACAAAAAGGTCAAGGTCGTCATGTCAGAAAACACGCCGTGGCTAATATTAATCAATTAACCCAGTAACCCGAATGGCTCTTTTTCTTTTGCATGAGAGCCAGCACCGGGGCAAGAAAAGTGACCGATTTCGCTAAATTCCCGCGCTTGCTGCTATGGCATCAGCAGCACAGAATTCCTCCCAGCTTACCCGTCACCCCACGCATTTGAATTTAGAGAAACGCTGCTTTTCTGCAGTGTTTGCTCCCGATCTGCACCTGCAGTCCCTGGGCGCTGTGAGATGAGCAACCTCCGTCATCTTCCCTCCTCTTTGCTTTTCTTTTTTCTCGCCTCTCCGCCATGTACTGTCTGCATTATTTATTGTCAGGTACCGTCAGCGTCTGGTTGCAGCAAAACCTCCGGGCTTTGTTTCCACACTTCTCCGCCTGTGATTGCCCTGACTTGTAATTCTCGAAAGGAGTTTTTCTCCCGGTATTGGCAGCAGAAGGGGAAGAAAACTCCATGCAAATGCAAGTTGTGCAAGTTCTCATTTTAAGACTGTACTTACCGCAACACGAAATGCCCAGGGGTGCATTTCAGTACACACTGCTTGGGTATTTTATTGTAAGACTGTCAAACATTAGGCCTTTAAGATCCTTTTTAGAGAGATTAACACTATTCTAGGATTTCCTATTAAGTGTGTGAAGCTTTTTCGGGTTTGTTTTGGGTTTTTTTTTCTGACAGTAACGTCTCGGTCAGCATTGCTTTACCCCACACTGGTGTCATAGCGCTCGGCACTTCAGGCTTTTATTTTTTGAAGCTCCTCTTGACTCAAGAAGGTGTCACGTTGCCGAATTGCACGTTTTCTTTCGTAAACCAAACTTGCTGCGAAGAGCTAATAGCTTCTAGTTTGCAAGTCTTGTGGACATCTTCATCAGGACAGCTTGTTCTTTGATTTTATAGCCATTAAACAAAGCGCTTTATGATAGCTGAAGGGGACAATTGCGGGAACAACAACCCGGCAATCTGTTTCACGCTTGCTTTAGTTTGCAATCTGCTGGAGTGCTTTAAAAACGCTAAAGCTCCTTGAGTTCTTTTGCCCAAGTGTTGAGGTCCACACGAGTTTGCTTGCAAATGCTTACTACAGCTCTGTTTGTGTGAATTTACTGGGGTTGGGCTTTTTTTTTTCTTTTATTTTTTTTTTCTTTTTTCACTCTGTGACAGTGTCTACAATCTGCTGTGAAATACGTTTTTTTTTTTTTTTTCTTTTTCTTTTTCAGTCTTCACACACACACGCAAAACTGGATCTTTCAGCAAAGCCAGTGGAATTTTATATGTTCTTGCCTGAGACTCCTAGAAGCTGTCGATGCACCCAGGCTGGGTTATATCAGTGCTGACATGCATCCCTGCCACCTGGCCTGAACTTCAGGGTTAGAGAGAAGATGTCTTCATTTTCTGCACACACACACACACACACACACACACACACACACACACACAAAAAAAAAAAAGAGCAAAAGGTGACCTAGCAGAGAGAAGAACGCAGAAGGCTCATGAATTGCAGAAAATGGTGATATACTTAGTTTTGCTCAAAGCAGAGCAGTCTGGATTGTGGCTTCTTCCTTCTCATGTTCTGTTAGTCTTCCCTAGATTCTTCCCACTGGCATTTTGTGGTGTTTAGTACCTTTTTGATGCTATAAATAGTCAGATTGGGTATTTTGGTAATTCTAAGCCCTATCTTAAAAGAAGAGTGGTAATAAGTACATAGGGTATTTGGCAATGTGTCATTCTAGCTTAAAAAAGAAAAGAGCATAACTAGCAGTGCCACATTTAAGTAGTAATAGTAAGTGGGTAATGTGGGTAATGCTACGTGCTCTACAGCATGTGAACTGAAGGATCTAATCAATGTTCTGCACTTGAGGGAAGCAGCAAATGCTGTTTTGTGCGGGGATTTTTTTTTTTTTTAAACGGATATACAAGGAGATATGTCTCTTCCCCTATTAAATAGAGGCCAAGAGTTGTATCCCACCCGTTGCTTCTGGGAATTAGGGTTAGGGTTTCTGCATCCAGCGTCAGGTTGTCCGGCCCACATTTAGCAGTAGGAATTAGCCATGGGAACCCAAGAGCAGCGTGGCCTCTGCTAAATGGAAATGCTCTTTCCAGCATGGCCAGGTAGGAGGGGAGGGTCCTCGTGTTTGAAAACTTGTGAAGTCGTCTCATGCCACACAGAGATGGTGACCAGCAACTGGGTTAACCCAACTTGGATTACTGCTTCATGGAAACTTCAGCAGATGTGGTTTATTTGACAGCTGAATTGGGCTAATGACTCACAACTTGTTACACTGTCATGGTGGGGCTGTCTACAATGATCTTTTTTTGTACCTTTTAGCCTGTTAAAACCCCAGAAGGTTATTTTTCCCTATTCATTGCTTACCTTTGTATTGACTACAACCTCTCTGATACGTATTTCTTCCTCCTTGTGCCAGAGTAACATGGTGATAATATTTTTCTGTTTATTGCATTAGCAACTGCTGCGTGAGATGCAACAGATGGCAAGTCGCCCCTTTGCCTCCATCAACGTTGCCTTAGAAACAGATGAGGAACCGCCTGATCTCATTGGAGGAAGCGTAAAGGTGAGAACTGCTGCTGTCGGACGGGCCTCGCCCCAGTTAGTCAACAACTCTCATTTTTAAATCCTGCTTAATGCAGCAATATAAAGTCCACTATTTGTCATGTGCCTGTAAGAAAGTGTAGGTCCAGGAGAGCCATCAAGTCTTGTTTCCACTTAATTTTATCCCTTCTGCTATGCCTTTACATCTTTGGGGTTTGGATAAAAGTTATATTGTTTGTAGAGTAAGACTTTTTTTTTTCCACTTGCCTTGTTAGTTTTTATGCCTTGCAATAGAGAAGAATGCAGTTTTACACAGCAGTTTTACGTTGCATTTGGCAACAAATGGCTACAGGGGCTGCAAGTAGAAAACCATTTTTCTGCACTCTCTCAAAGTAGAGAGGAATATAATTGTATGTCTTTGTGTGTGTCCTGTGACAGTATCAACATATTTCTCTACATGAATATGTGTGTTCCAGTGTGTCTTGTGATACACAAATAGCATGGAGAAATGGTTGCTTTACACCAACCTGATGTGTCCTTGGACATAGCATGTAGTAGGTTTAGGAAAATGATGTTTAAAAGGAAAATAGCAAATAAAAAGAAGCTTTTTCGTGTGATGCTTTTGCTAGTAGACTTGTTTGCTAAAAGAAAAAGTTAAGAACCTGAGACCCTTTTGGCCTAAGGTGAATGGTTCCTGTGGTTGCCCCTGTAGGAGTGCTCCATAGATTAATCATCGTTACATCTTTCTCTGAAGTCAGGATAGTCTGTCCCTTTTTTGCACATATGAACCCTGGTGCTTGGAAAGAAAGCAAAATTTGCAAAGGCATCCATTAATTGGGGTTAATTGAGTGAGCTGATGTGTCCTAGGGGCCTCTCCCCTAGGACATTCTGGGTGATGGCAGCCCTTGATTTCCATTTGAACCCAGCGCATTCCCTTTTCCTGAGATTTATTTATAATTTCTGTATTTTCTTTTGGCCGTGATAGATATTGAGGATCATTAGCTGCTAATGGCTCACCAAGACCTCATTTGAAGTGTGTGCTTGTAAAACTGGGCTATGATCCAGCAAATGGGCATGAGCTTCCTGGATACTTGTGGATGTTGCCACCAGCATGGAGGCATCTTTGGGAGGCTTCCGTTTGGGACCAATGTCTGTTGGGTGGATTACTTGTTAACAAGAGCCTTTAAAGCTGTCAGTTCAACAATTAAAGCATTTTAAGGGTTATGCAGCAGCAACATACTCTGACGATATAAACGCTGGTGGAACGGTGTGATGGATGGGCCTGACTTCATCGGGGTGCCATCAGGATATTTATAAAGATTTTGCTTGTTTTCACCTTTTGACCTGTTTAATATATGAACCACACACTTAATTACAATGTTCTTCTTGATTTGGTTAGTCTAAGGAAAAAAAAAAAAAAAAAAGACAGGCAGAGTTTTCTGTAGGGCTGTCCTTAAAACAACAAAGAAAAGGTAATGTTGAAGGAATAGGGTTGCAGCCACTATGAAAAAATCCTTGTAGAACTCAAAACATGGTTTAAAAAGTCCAGGGTGGTATGAATTATTAAAATTCTTCTGTAACTTTTTGCAGACTTCAGAGTCTGACCTAAATTGACATTAATGTGGTGGGAAGGAGGGAGAGGAAGAGTTTGTCTCAGTATCTGCCACTTAAATGGAAAAGCTAAGTGTCAATTAGTTGAAAGTTATATGAAACTGCCTGACCTGCGGGAACTTCCCCTTTTCCCTCTTTTCATTTCTTAATTAATTTTTTAGAAATAAGCTAACCGAGAGCCCCTCTCCTGTAGGATCAGACCCAAACAAAGCTGCCCCGAACTTTCTGATCTTTGACAATTTGGTCTACAAAACTAGAGTGAAGATTTCAACTTTGGATCTCTTAGTCCCTGACTGGGGTGTTATTTTCCTTCTTGTTCATCTTGCATCTCCTTTTTTTCTTTTGAGCTTTGTTGTGCGCTTTCTGCTCTCTATCTCTCTACTTTTTGTTTGCTTCTCAGTTTCCTCTTTGATTAGAGGAATGTTGAACTCACGTTTGAAGTGTTCCTGTAGATAGAGGTGCAGAGAGGGTTTCATCTTTCTCGTGCTTTCAGCTGAATTTCCTTGCTTCCCTGCGCCCGCTGTCATTGTCCCCATCTCTCTTGCCTGACCTGAAGCTAGTCAAGGACTGATGGAGGAGCCGTTTTTAAGTATAATGAGGGAGATAGTGGACAGATGTCCTTCTTTTTCAGATCCAGAAATTGCTGCCAACTGCTAATTACCCTTTCGGCTGACATGTCAGCGAAGCAGTTCGCACAAATGTTTCTTAAGCCACTTTTTGCAGAAATGGTGCGGTCTAATTCAGACAAAAAGTGTTTACAGTCCCTTGAAGCCCATTAGGGAGGTGGGCTGCTGGGCCAGCAGGTGAGGTACCTGCTGATAGACCTGGATGCAGAACAAGGAGGATTCTCCATGACAAGGAGAGTAGCTAAAATTTCAGATTTTTTCTTTTTCCTTAATTGTGTCTTGCAGAATTTGGATAAGGAAAGAAAGTATTAAAAAATAAAATAAATCTGGAGTCTTTCAGCCAAGTTGGGTCAGCCTGGAGAAGAGAGCAAGTGAAGGACACCTGTGGCTTCTGAGGAACTTGGGGAATGACCCTTCTGAGATGATGCGGGAAAGTGGGTTGGGCTGAATCAGAGATGGGATCTGAATTTTCTTTTTCCTTTTACATCTGTTTCATCTATTTATCTCTCTCTTAATGGCTAGCCAAGGAGAGAGTAAAATGTCGGTAAGCTCTTGGACCACAAGCCGGTAGCTCTGCCATTCCTTGTGTCAATAATTTGAAAGCTTTCATTTTTATACAAGAAATTCAGACTTGTGTTATCATAAATGCATTGATGTTTTTCTTTCCCTGTGTGAATCAAAGCCTTTGGTTAATAACAAATGTATTTGAGGGTTACAAAGGAGAAATGGAAAATGGGATGCCTTGTCTGCGAGAGATTAATTCCCTTTTCCATTGTGCATAGCCAGTTGGCAGCCGTGTCAAGCCAGTTCCATCCTAAGCTAATGTTTTCCAGCTGGACAGTATTAGAACTGTGTTTTCAATTAGTATTTTTCCTGGGGTACTTAGAAGTAATAGAAAATGATTTACCTGAAGGGAAACTATTCATATTAGTCTGCAGCTAGGCAACACATAACTAGCTGCTTTGGCTGATTTCCCATTCAGCAAATACTTGGTGGATCACAAATCTGCTGCTAAATTTGCTTAGTTATTACAAAATCCATTGGCTTTTCTCTGCAGCATCTTTGTGCGTTTTGTCCTGCACATTGCAGTTTTTTCAAAGAAAATTTAACCTCCTTATGCATGTGGGACTTGTGCAAGTGTCCAAATCTGAATTATTTCACCATGGACTCTTTTGGATCTTGTCATCTAATTGATGTCAAGTCCTCCACAGTGCTTTCTTTTGGGAAAACTATTTTTTTTCTGATTTTTTTTGGGGGGAGAAAAATGATTTTGGCATTGATTTATGGGTATTGTAAAGTTTGTAACAGACAAAACTAATGCTTTCAGATTCCTGGGAAAAACCTACATGCAGAAGTACTTGGCTTGAGCAAACACCTACAGGATCAACAACAAAGTAATTGCATTATAAAAATTTATCCTTAAGTCAGACAAAATTGTCTTGGAAGCCTTCAGAGGATTTGAAAAATACCCTCATAAACCAGAGGATTTGCCTCGCAGGGCTGATCTGTTGAGTTTTTAGGGGTCCATTGTGGAGCAGTCAGTGCTAAGCAATGATTAACTTTGCACCATGATGGACAAGTTTTCCACGTTTGTAGCTGTCCAAATGAAGCAGGAGACATATTTGGTCAGGAGAGTCGTTCAGAAGCTCATTCAAAATCTTCCCTACCTTCTTCTGGATGTGCATTGAAATCTGCTAGTTTTGATTTCACTGTTAAGTTGTTAATAGGGTATTGGGCCACCAGTTTGGCTGATTCTTTGAGTAGCAGGAAAATTAACAGAAGAAGAGCATCTTACCTAGACAACTGGTGTGTTTTGTTATAGAGTGAATGCTCTCAAGAGGTCTCAAGGCCTACAAATCCCTTCTGTGCAGCAGGAGGCTGCACCAGTGAGGATATGGGATCCCACGGATGTCTGCGCTCCATCTACTTGGGTTTGGGCTTTGAATAGAGCCCTTGTAAAATTCCTGTTAGGTCTCAGTGCAGTTGCATCCACCAGCAATGAGAAGAAGAGTGAGTAGTTGGAGGTCCTGTGCCAAAGCAAGGTAGATTTGGGGAGGCTGTAGGTACACCACTGACATGAGGGATCATAGGAGGAAGAGCATCATCCCACTCCATTGCCTCCACGCTGTGATTTCATCTCCGTTTTTGCCTGTAGTTCTGACCAATACCCT